TATCGTCAGCCAAAACAAGGCGAGTGGCACACTGTGGAACAGACCACCAACTGCTCATATGCAAGTTCAAGCTGAAGCTGAAAGAAAGTAAGTTCAAGAGAGTCAAAATATGACCTTGAACATATGCAACCTGAATTTACAGACTGTCTCAAGAAGAGATTTGAAGCACTAGATACTAATGATTAAAGACAAGAAGAGCTGTGGAAGGACCTAAGAAGATCATACAGGAAGAATGCAAAAGATCATTAAGAAGACAGGAAATAAAAGACCAAGATGGATATCAAAAGAGACTCTGAAATTTGCTCTCCAGAGTTGTTGTTGTTGGTAAAGTGCTGTTGAGTCGGTTCCAACTCACAGCAACACCACACCAGGCTTTCCAAAGTAGAGATGCTAATGTGAATGAAAGAAATGAGGGAGCAAAAGAGCTGAACAGAAATTTTCAAAGGGCATCTCAAGAAGACAAAGTCACACATTATTCAGAAATGTGCAAAGACTTGAAATTAGAAAACCAAAAGGGAAGAAGATATTTAATATTTATCAAGCTTAAAGAACTGAAGAAAATTCAAGTCTCAACTGAAGGTAATACTGAAGGATTCCATGAACAATACACTGAATGATGCTAAAAGCATCAAAAGAAGATGGAAGGAAAACACAAAGTCACTGAACCAAAAAGAAATGGTCTATGCTTAACCATTTCAAGAGGTAGCATATGATCAAGAGCCAACGGCACTGAAGGAAGAAGTCCAAGGTAAAGGACAAGGCTCATGGAATCGAGAGACTCTTTCAACAAACTGATGTAGCACAAGAGGCACTCACTCATCTATGGATTCTCTGGTCATTGAGCACATCCAGACAGGCAAATGTGATGACCCAGATGTGTCATCACATTTCTAGGGATCATGGTCCAATAAACCCCTACATGAGCTCCTCCTACCACACTGAGATGATTATTACTAAAATGGAACAACCTGTTCCTAAACCAGCAGATAAGGTTGCCAGAAGAAAAAGATATCTCAAAAGAAATTGACAAAACAAAAACTTATGGCTCAGGAATAAATTAAGCTTAAAATAAAATGCAAATGAAATCAAACAACGTACTGCATTAGGCAAATTTGTTGCACAAGACCTCTTTAGAGTGTTCAAGAGCAAATACATGAGTTTGAAGACTAGGGTATTTTCAATAGTCTCATATGCATGTGAATGCTACATTTAATAAGGAAGACCATAGAAAAATTGATGCATTTGAGTTATGGTGTTGGAAAAGAATACTAAAAGTACCATAGACTGTTAGAAGAACAAACAAATCTCTGTTGGAAGAAGTACAGTCAAACTGCTCCTTGGAGGCCAGGATAGTGAGATGTCGTTTCTCATACTTCAGATATGTTACCAGGAGGGGCCAGTCCCTGG